TCGGCCCAAGAAGTAAGTTGAACACGAGATTCGTTGTCGCACATGCAGTCTTGTTGCCTTGACGTGAGGTGGACATCCTCATGGCTTTGGTTTTCATTGTGGGCCTGGGCGAGTGCTGCAAAGCCATCGCCTTCCAGCTGCGCGCCTGAGGTCAACGCTCGAGAAGACAAAGGTGAGTAGAAGAGACATTCAGAGCAAAGCTTATGTGGCCTGTACTTAATGGGATTATGTTTCCAACAAATCGCATACCCTACCGTGTTTCTTTTAGGTTCACCCAACCTGTGCGGGGTTGCATATTGCCAGTTGGGCTTCCTTATTATATATATATATATGTATTGATTATATGTTGCTTACGTGCTGGCTTCACTGCAGCAGGTGTGCGATGACTCTTGTTGCACGCAAATGTATCCCAGACACATGTCATGCAACACCGTTGCATTGTCTTGTTGCATGGTGACATTAGACTAGTTCCGGATATGCGTGTCAGACCTCCTCGACCCACACACACACACACAACGCACGCATTTTGTCATACGTCACGAGTTGCTTGCTTGCCGTGGTACAAGTCCATCCAGCACATTTCTTTAGCATGCAAAGGTCTGTCCCGCGCAGATTTACACAGTGTTGCATATGTAGACCGTATTGAAACTATGTCACATGTTTGCATATATGCGCTTGCCGCATGATCAAATTAAGTAGTGTGACACTTTGAATTTGCACAGTTTTTTGCACATGTTCGCACTTTCGCTGATTAACCCTGCATATTGTTGCCAAGGTTGATTCATGGACTTTGCACATTTCTACGCCCATTTTGCACCTGTTTGCGCATCCTCCAGCACATCCGGCACATTCTGCGATGCAACTCCCAGCAAATGTCGGATTGTGGATTACCTGGCCCGTACTTGTAGTCTAGTAAGTCCTGCACCGCGATTTCCTTCATTGCTGGCGGCCAATGGCTCGGAGCATGAATAAAGGTTTGCTTCTTTTACCAGCGGCGAGTTTCCAGGCACCATGCAAAGATTCTTGACATATATTCGTAGGCAGTTGCAGGCACCTACAGCCAGATCTCACAGTTGATGTCAACCCTGCCCGGACTGGGCTGGAAAATTACTGGCTGAATTTGTAGAGACCAAGGCTTGCACGGCTCTGGAACTTTCGCTTGATGCGGACGCGCTACGCAATGCAGACGCTGGTGGCGCTGTGTGTGGAGTTCCTTGCGAAGGTTGCGATGCCCGGGTACTGGATATGGAATGCGGGTTTATCTTGAATTATATGCAGTAGCCCTCAGAGTTTCTCAAAATGCACGCTTTTCCCAATGGATTCCCTTCAAGCCAACCCCAAAAAGGGCATCCGAAAAACAGGGGCGCAGGGGTTCAAGAAATTAGTTTGTGTAGACTGTTGCAGCAAGCAAGCATTGACCAGACCAACCTTTCGCCACAAGTGCTGGGCACAAATACCCATTCCGCAAACAATGCGACAGCGATTCGCCCTGAAATGACAGCAGGTTACTAGATCAGGTTACCAAGGCAAAAGCTGCCCTTTGTGAAATCTTGATGGAAGCACAACCAACATCGAAGCGCTTGAGCCGGACACCGGCACCTGTGGCCTTGCTTAACATTTACCATTTGGTTTGCAATCTTAGGGGGCAGACCTTGCTGTGGAGGAGTTGCACCAAGTCACGTTCAAATTGCTGAAACTTGTCCATACTATTTGGAGAGAGGCTTGGGGGGGAAGCTGCATCGATTGCTTAATTAAGTTGTTTCCACCTGAAAATGCCCAACCATCGTGTTGTGTATAGCATCGTGCGTGTCAGATCGCCGAGCTGAGCTACCCGGACAAACTACCTGCAATCGCATCCTAAATGACCAGTTGACGTGACCCCCTCGCATCGACGAAACCGCATAGCTACTTTTTGCTTCTCAAAACGTTCATGTGACTGTGCCTCCCGACCGTATGAGTCGTGCACATCGCAGGTGGGACTTTTCATGCTGCTTGCCTTCTTGTTCCTGCCCTCCTGGTCGGACGTGTCTATCGAGGGCTCCACCGCACTCCCAGAAGAGGTGTGGGGGGGAAGGGAGCTCTTACTTGCTTGCCTCGAGCGCTGGCATTTGGAATTGCCTGGCCTTTAAGCAGCAACGCTCGAAGAGCGCATGCAAAAAGAAAATGCCACGGCGGTCCACGCAAGTTGGCTTTGTGCCGAGACTGTGGAAGAGCCAATTGGGACATGTTTGAATTGAATTGCGCCAACTATGTTGTGGCATTTTGGCACCGGCGCCACTCGGACAGGTTTGCGTTGGACACTTGGACTATGACCTCTGCTATGCCATTGGCCAATGTCAGGCCAGCGGTGACGCTAGGCGCCATTTTTTGCAGGCGTTTTCAGTTCCCGGGATGGCAATCCAGCATTCGCTTTGTGACCCAGGATGCAGGGATGCTTGTATCCCCAAGTTTCAAGCTATGCCCGAAGCCGCGAACAGGTTGTGTTTGCCTGGTAGATTCCTAAAGTTTCGGTAGATTCAAGGGAACGTTTCAAGGCAAGCCTATAATCTGTGTGTTTCCTCTTTTTCGCCTTGCATGCGACAGCCGCCCATAGCTGCCCTTCCTTTTGACCAACTGCCCATGCCCAATGGTATCACTTGAGTCTCCCAGGATCCTTACTGCTGCTCGGGCACACTAAGCTGCTCCCGGCAGCTGCTGCCCTTCACGTCCCGCAAGCAGCTCTTTGAGAACTGGCTGGTCGGGCCGTTTGTGCCTTGGCCAAACGAGAGAGCACGGCTAGGCGGCTAGGCTGACCCGTGGCTTAGCGTGTGTTGCCGCGCGTATCCGCCGTGTCACACGCTGCCGGGGGGGGGGGGGGGGAAAGGCAGGAAGAAACCGACTAACTGTGTTGCTTGATATAGCTTACAGGTTTCCTTTGGAGGTCAGTTGTGAGCCTTGCCATGGACGGGACCGGACGCATGTTGCTTCCTCGCCAGTTTGCAGAGCGTCTGGGTTGAGGGATACATCAACTCGAATTTGTCTGTCTCGGTCCACGTGCTTTGTTTGGCGTGGATTTTCACTTTTGATTTGGTCCTTTTTCGTTTGAGCTTGGTCAATCGAGCATTGAAAAGTGTGGTTGGGTCGTTCAGGTGCGGGTAGTAAGTATAGTATAGGTTTGTCTAGCATTGGCAGAAACCTCTGGTAAATGCCCAACTCGAACACACCAAACACAAACAACGCGCAGCCCTGAACATGCCCAACACCTGCATTGAGCAGAGCCAGCCAGCTGCAGTCACGTCATGGTTATGGCGCCAGGAAGGGAGGGTGACAGAAGCGAAAAACGGGGGTTGGGGGGGGGGGGCGGGTACATGCCAACGTGATTGCACATTGCCACCGCATCACACATCAGCAGTTAGCATCACCGGCACTCACTTGTCGAGCCTGCATTTTTCGGGCATGCAGCAGTGACTCCGCGAGTGATGTGCTAGTTTATACGCAGACTGCGGCAGCTTGTCACTTCAGGTCATTGCTCCGTTCATTGACATCATCCCCCAGCTGGTGGCCCCAATGCTGGCCGCATATTTGTCCCGCAACTCTGGCTGAGATGGGGCAATGGAGGGCGGAGAAGGGGCGAGTCTTGTTTGGCGACTGTGGCGTGTTTGTGGTTTCTTGCTTGGGCCCTCTTTACACCTGCAGTACTGCGCAGAAAAGATGGTACCTGAACAATGCAAGCATTCGAATGTGCCGGAAGGAACCCAAGCGTCCAAAGGCAGGCCCTTCCAAATTGGCACGCATGGGTCAGATACGAATGTTGAATGAATCGGCTTGCGGTGTATTTGCCTGTTTGGTTTAAACACTTGAGGCCGCAATGACCAGAAGATGGCGCGGCGACAAAGAGAGGGAGAGAGAGAGAGAGAGAAAGAGCGAGAACAAAACGAGGAGAAGGACAGATGGCACCATGTGTATCTCAGTTCGAAGAGATGCGACCATGCACCAGGGCACGCATGCGAAACATATTGTTAAGAGACACACTGCACCGCTTGTGGATTGCGTTCATTGCGCAGCCCCCTTTGCGCAAGAATTGAGGTGTTCAACAGCCGGCCCCGGCTGTGCTCAGCCGGGTAATCATACGGAGTTCTGGTCTCCACCATGAGTGAAGACTGATTTGGTTTTGGCCAATGTTGTGCACTCTGTCTGTGCACAATGCGCTTGTTTTCCTTGTTGTCCTTCTGGTCGCGAACTAAAGGTGCTGCCTCATGGATCAGGAAATGAAGTAAGAAGCTGCGTGCTCAGTGGGTACGTCTCGACTTGACCAACGAAGACCCATTTGCTAGCACATTTGTCTCGCAGGGCGGCCACTTTGATGCTGGGATGCGTGATTGAGCAGCTAAAGGAGCTTGATCCCGCCACAGTGCATTGCGATCCCGCAGTTCGAGTTCAATCATGCTGTACCGTCCTGAAAGCTCATGCTTCGGAGTTCATGGCTTTCCTGTACCACATCACTGGTTCACCTTCAGATGCTCTTTGTGAAGGCCACGCGCCCAGATCTGTGTGGAGTGAGCCGAGGACTGGCAGACGACGAAGGCCATGGCTTTGCGGGGCGCCTGTGCTGCGCCTGCTGCGGCTGGCTGGCGCGCTTCCTCGCCTTCATCTTCGTCTTGGATGGCGAATCCAAGCTGAGTCGCCTTCTCCTGAGCGTTGGGAAGTTGGGAAGTTGGGCACGGCCAAATCATGCGGGTTGCGAAGGAAGTTGTGTCGGTTTGGCCAACTTTAGGATTGAAGATGGGTGCATCCGGAGATACCGGCTGCAATATGCGCTGAATTAGCTGTCTCAGGAATCAATCCATGGTTGCCTTTGGCATTATGTGAGGCCCATACCAAAGTTCTGATGCTGATGGATGTAAGTAATACACTTGTTCAAGCTTTCCAAGTGATAAGCTTTCAGGGAAAGAATGAACGGCACCCAAAGTCCTCATTGCACGTAAAGGTTACAAGCTTCAATAGGATCCTGGCCCTTTTGTGGGTGTTCATGGTTCGGGTGCTTTGGAAAGTACTTGGCAGGCTTCCCACCCAGCTCACTGCGTCACCATTTGCCACCGCGGCTCAGAGCCTGGAGGCGCCTTCCTTAGGAAGGCGCCTGTGAGCAGAACTGGTGCTCCCCAGGCAGGGCGTGGGGCTTGGCGTGGGGCGGTTGTATGGGTTGAGGTTGTGGCTGATGTTCTTAGAATGTATTCGTGTGGGGGTTGATGTTTGTATGGGTTGATTGTTCGTATGGGTTGATGCTTGTGTTCTTGTATTCGTTGCTTTGGTTTTGGTTGGTCCATTGGTGGTGGTGGCAGTGCTGGTGTTGGTTGTCAAGTGATGCTTGTTTGCTTCTGCTGTGTTGTGTGTGGAAGTGACGTGTGTGGGTTGATGTTTGTGTCGTTGTGCTGGTTAGGCTCCCTTGTGCAATTCAATTCGCTTCCTGGGTAGGCAAGCAAGAGCCACAGGTTGTGCATGCAACTTGGAGCTTTTCAGGACGCTTTGATCAGCGGCCAAGCCTGTTTGCAAGCTGATCCTCAGCATTCCAGCTTTGTCCGACCTTACGAGTGTGTAGCTTGATCAATGGTAATCCAACAAGCGCATTCCCGGCCCAACCTGGGTGTTTGAACGAATGGGACTACGTTCAGCTTGGACACGGAGACCGTCTCCGTCCAAAATGTTTGGCCCAAAGCTTTGAGAGCCTTTCCATGCGCGGTCAGGCTGATGCCTTTGCGGCAATGAGCCGGACAAGCCATTTGGCTTCGACTGAGTTTACGAGTCTGCTTAGGCTTTGAGTTTAGCCTTCGTGGGTGCCCAAACCTCTGCTTTTGTTTGCGCCGCGCGCTTTTGTGTGTGTTTGTGCGCTTTGGAGGCCTTGTTGTGTGACTTGTTTCAACAGTTGTTCGACAATGCTCGGCATCACTTCCGGTTGCATACGAGCTGCTGCAACGCCCCTTTCATGCCCTGCTGCGATTTTGCAGCGCTTTGATAAGTCAATGCGCGCTGCTGCCAGGCCAGAAAGGGCAAAGGCCCATGCAATTATGCAGTGTCGGTTCGCAGCCATCCGCCAACGAAATGGCTTGGTTCCAGCTTGGGTCATGTGATGAACCACTCACAGCCGTGCACTCGGAAGTGTCTTTCAGACAACATTGACGCCCATCGCAGATTGCCGCAGGCAAGTCAAGGTTTGTCCTTTTGGCAATGTCAATGCGAGATATTCGAGGAATCTCCGAGGAGCCCTTCCACATGGTTGGCTACATGTTGAATGCCTGAAAACTCCTGAAAACCCGTACCCAAAGCTTCGAGTCACAGCCATTTCCGGTCCAAGGATGCCCCTAGGGCAATGGTCTGGGCACATCTGGCACTTCGAGGGCGAGTTCGAGCCCTCGCGAAGTTCGACCCCACAGGCTTCCAACCGGTTCCAGTCAGGGGACCCTAGACGGCTTCTAATACACGGCTTTCTGTTTGCACCCAAGGGCAATCATGTGTGCGTGTGCGTTTGTTAGAACCCACTCACCGGATCACCCAAATATAAACGGTGCGTGCGAGCGCACTGACTCAGCCCCATCGCTGGGAGCCCTTCCACCGTCTCCTTGCGAGCGTCGCTGTGGCTCAGTGACCTCCAAGGTCAAGAGTTACGAAACATGCAAGTTACACCAAGCAACTTCCGCCTGGAGGCCCTTTTTTGAATGACGCTGGGGATGCAGGGGCGGCATGTGTTGCACTTGAGAATGCATGCGGTGCCTGCATAAACATTAGTTAGAGGTGATTTTATAACATGCGATCCCAAGATATGAATACTGCGCTTCCTTGCAGATCAACTGTAAAAGGGAGAAGACACATTAGACCCCACATTGCGCAAGATGTAGGAGACGCATTATGAATGCTAGCTGCTGGCGTGCTTAACATGTTTCGACAGGACAATGCAACATCCTGAATACGAGGCATGGGGTGATGGCCAGGATTAAGCAGGTAGTCTGTTGCAAACGTTTCTGACAGCCATGCTGAGACGACAAGTACATGTTTATCTAAAGCATTCTCAGGTCAGCATGCCAGCGTGACGCCTAATGACACAACTTTAGCTATAGTCAAGCCAGCCACGAGACAACTTGCTTACATCAACCTTATTTGGAGGCCAAGTAGCCAAAGAGTTAAACAAGTGTCAGTCCGGGGCCAACTAATGCATTGTACTGTGCGTTAAAGCACCTCGCGACTGGCGCTCAGCCACGGCGTACGCCGACCCCACTGCCCAGCCGGCCAAGCACCCGAAGCCCTGCAAGCCCTTTGCAGTGGGCTCCCTCACGGTGCTCTACCCGAGCCTTAGGCTGAAGCCTTTGGCTAAGGGAGTGGCATCCTATTAACGTCACCTTCCAGATCTCAACTTCCAGATTCGTTCGATATCGATTTGCAAGATGCTTATGTCAGATCGTAGTGGTTTCACGGATTGAGAGTAAGACGTGTCCTCCCGTTCTGAACAACCCAGTTTGTTTGGGGCATGTTTGCAGGATGTAAACGCTGCCTTTGGGGTTGCACGAGTAGGATACTTTGATACTGACCGCTGTTCGAAGTCAGGCCGCAACTCGTTGACATACCTAGGCTGAGAGTTGCATTTTCACAGTTTGTTTTGTTAGCATGGCGGCAGAGGGTTGTAGGATGGAGCGTCGCTCATGACAGAGATGACCTCCGGCAAATTGCTCCTGTGGACTTGGGTGCGTTTCGAGGCGTTTGTGTGCAATGTGTGTGTGTTTTTTTGTTTTTTTTCTGCGGGTGGGCTGGTGGTGGTTCGTGACATTGCTGATTGGTGCAGCATTTGATTTATGTTGTTCCCCGTGATGCGTGACAAGCTTGAGTGCAGCCCGTTCCGGTGTGTCCGTCATGCAGCAGGTGATGATGCCTTGGCAGTTGCAGTAGCGTATTGATTGGAATGCGAAGCTTTGGCCGCCAAGGATGCACGACTCGTGCCGAATCTCGTTTGTCCAACCGTGGGAAGCATGGCAGCTATCTCGAGCGAGTGCCTTGGCAAGGCAACAACTGTAAAATTCGGCCAGGTGGCTGAGGCGGATTCATGCCCTGTGAGCGAACCTTGCATTGAGGCGCAGACACCCAGCTTTGAGCGACCAGCATCGAGGTCATTCGACAAGCTTGACAGCGATGAAGAGGATGGTGTTAGCATGGCAAACGCAGATGTGTGGGTTGTTCCGTTTTGCATGTGGATCAGCCTTGCGCTTTATAAGTCAGCCATATCATGATGGGGTTGAGTTGTTCTTTTGCCAGAGCACATGTTGTACCCAGACATTGGTAGACAGCAAGGAGCCGCGTAGTCTACACCAGTGTGACTAATATGCTTGTCGCCTGGCTTTACATCAGCAGTGATTGGACAGTGGGCTGATTTGAGGAAACACCGTCTTTAATCATTCGGAAAACAAATTCAGCATGTAGGCTGAAGCCACAAGGATTACAGCTTGCCACAGCCGTCATTGACTCTGCATTGTTTGAAGGATGTCCTGCTGGCGAAGCAGGCAAAGACTATCCATCAGTGGTCCTGCTCTACACAGGCCTTGTGATTTCTGCATTGCGGTACCCACGCTGTCCTGTTCTTGTTGTTCCCACCCCCACCCCGCCCCCCCCCGCTCACTGCAAAGCCTGGGGGTCTGGGTGCGGCTTCGACTTGCCAATGCTTACGTTAGTATTGCCAAGACTTGCTCTCAGATTTCCAGTGCTTAATTTAGTATTGCCAATTCCACTTAGTATTTCCAAGAACTGAATTGACCATTGCCAATTCTAAGTTTTGTATTGCCAAGACTTACTCTCAGATTCGCATTGCTCAATTTAGTATTAGCGATTCTTAAAGTAAAAAGGATAAAGTTTTGATCTGGGAATTTCTCAACCTCCGAAGAAGGTTATGAAATCAAACTCAAATGAGTCACATTAAACAGAACCTGGGCCTCTTGTGATCAGAGCGTTGAGGGGAACCATCCAGTCAGAACAGGCTTAACTTGCGGATGCGTGATGTCTGACCAGGACCCTACATCTTTGGGTAAGAATTGCAGTTCTGCTGAGCATGCTGCATTGCCAGCATTGAAGGGTTCCGACACTAGCATGAGTTGGCCTGCGACACTCAAACCTCAGAGGGTGATGAGGGTTGGACTTGCCTCTAGCAAGTTGTTCCAGATTTCTGTGAGTGATAACAGCGAGGGCGTTTTTGTGCGGGGGGAATTAGATGAGCGGCACCGCCGCCTTGCGGCAATTAGCTTGTTGAAATGGGGCTGGTGGAACCTCAAGGGTCGAATCGTACGTCGACTTGGTTTCCGCTGGCAGGGTGTGAAACAGGCAAATATAGAAAGGATGGTTTTTTGTTCACCCTGGAACCAGGGAAATGGATGCTTGGGCATTGTCGCAACCGAGGCTGAGGAAAGCTACTCCTTGCCGCTGGGCTCCTCGACACGGAGAAGCTCCTTGAGCTGGGAGGCCGGCTCCCATGGCCTCGGAACAAGCAAAACCAAGGGAGGACATCGCAGAAATAACTTTCTGGACAGTTGGATCCTGGGCTCCTTATAGGAAATGCGTCTTTCAGCTTAAATGTCCAGGCTTCCATTGTGGCTGATTGCAGGCACATTGGATCGGAAAGCATCGCTCCCTAGGTGTTGAACAAACGAGCTAGGAGCCTCCACAGATACAGGACGAATTTCATGTACTGCCACATCCTCACTATGAATCGTACAGCGATTGCATATTCAGAAAGTTGAACCTATCAACATTTAAACAAGGTAAAACAAAAACAACACCCCGTCATGTCATTGCATGCACCAGTTTGCGACGCAAGTACACTTACCCTGCTTGACGTAGCTGTTGTTCCCCCAAGGAGACTGCCCTGGACAAGCGCATCCTCTCGCTGTATGAAGCCTCAGTGGAATTGGCAGAGGCAAGGCGCTGATGAACAGCATTGATGAAACCCCGATTCTTCAGTCATGGATGCCGGCCGTGCCTTGACAGACCTTGCAAGCGCGTGCGTGCGTGCGTGCGTCTGTCCGTCCGTCCGTCCGTGCGTCCGTGCGTCCGTGCGTCCGTGCGTCCGTGCGTCCGTGCGTCCGTGCGTCCGTGCGTCCGTGCGTCCGTGCGTCCGTGCGTCCGTTCGTCCGTGCGTCCGTGCGTCCGTGCGTCCGTGCGTCCGTGCGTCCGTGCGTCCGTGCGTCCGTGCGTCCGTGCGTCCGTCCGTGCGTGCGTGCGTGCGTGCGTGCGTGCGTGCGTGCGTGCGTGCGTGTGTGTGTGTGTGTGTGTGTGTGTGTGTGTGTGTGTGTGTGTGTGTGTGTGTGTGTCTGTGTGTGTCTGTGTCTGTGTCTGTGTCTGTGTCTGTGTCTGTGTCTGTGTCTGTGTCTGTGTCTGTGTCTGTGTCTGTGTCTGTGTCTGTGTCTGTGTCTGTGTCTGTGTCTGTGTCTGTGTCTGTGTCTGTGTCTGTGTCTGTGTCTGTGTCTGTGTCTGTGTCTGTGTCTGTGTCTGTGTCTGTGTCTGTGTCTGTGTCTGTGTCTGTGTCTGTGTCTGTGTCTGTGTCTGTGTCTGTGTCTGTGTCTGTGTCTGTGTCTGTGTCTGTGTCTGTGTCTGTGTCTGTGTCTGTGTCTGTGTCTGTGTCTGTGTCTGTGTCTGTGTCTGTGTCTGTGTCTGTGTCTGTGTCTGTGTCTGTGTCTGTGTCTGTGTCTGTGTCTGTGTCTGTGTCTGTGTCTGTGTCTGTGTCTGTGTCTGTGTCTGTGTCTGTGTCTGTGTCCGTGTCTGCGTGCGTGTGTGTGTGTGTGTGTGTGTGTAAGTGTGTGTGTGTGTAAGTGTGTGTGTGTGTAAGTGTGTGTGTGTGTAAGTGTGTGTGTAAGTGTGTGCGTGTGTGTGTAAGTGTGTGCGTGCGTGTGTGCCTGCGTGCGTGCGTGCGTGCGTGCGTGCGTGCGTGCGTGCGTGCGTGCGTGCGTGCGTGGGTGGGTGGGTGCGTGGGTGGGTGGGTGGGTGGGTGGGTGGGTGGGTGGGTGGGTGTGTGTGTGTGTTTGTGTGTCTGTGTGTCTGCGTGTCTGTGTGTCTGTGTGTCTCTGTGTGTCTCTGTGTGTCTGTGTGTGTCTCTGTGTGTGTCTCTGTGTGTCTCTGTATGTCTCTGTGTGTCTCTGTGTGTGTCTGTGTGTCCGTGTGTCTGTGTGTCTGTGTGTTTGTGTGTCTTTGTGTGTGTGTGTGTGTGTGTGCGTGTGCGTCTTTTCGTTTATAGCACCATGCAAAGCCAATAATATGTTGTGAGATGCTGCTGCTGTTGAGCTGTGATCCACCAGTCTATACAAGCATGCGGAAGCCCTCAGAAGCGCACGGCTTCCTGATTTCCTTTTCTGGCCAAATGGGTTTGTCCGAAGAGGCTACCCTCAACGCAAATATAACCAAATATAGTCCGTCGTGTGGAATTGTTCGGGTCCTTTCATTTACAAGCCTTGCGAGCTGCAAAGAATCTAACTTTTGCTTCGCAGGTGGGCATTAGCACTGTGATGGTGCCAAACATCGCCAACCGCTTTTCGGAGGCCATCGATTCCATCAACAAAGCAGAGTTGCTGTGGCTGAAGCGGGCGTTTGCAATCGTAAGCTGAGTTGTGTGCATAGGGAAAGCCTGACACTTGCCATGCCTGCAAGATGCGCCATGTTATGGCTTCTTTTGGTTGACTTGAGGCCTTGTTGGCCCCCTTCAGCGCTTGTGCTGGCACTTGGACTTTGCCACTTTGAGTTGGGGCGCTAAATCTCCGACTAGTGATCAGGGGCTCCGAAGCATGGGCTGAGTCCGAATCATCAACTCAAGCTTGTGCACCGCACCCTTTTGCCTTGCTGAGTCAATATCCTTTGGACGCAACGGCAGGGGGAGAGAGAGAGAGAGAGAACCTCATGTCATTGACCAAGGACTGATGAGGATGATGACCCAGCCCATGCGCAATTGTTCACGGAAGCACTGCAGGCGTACATGATTTATGGCAAGATGGAGTGCATTGTGCGTCTTGCATTGAACTCATCGCGCGGTCCCATGGACTTTTGACACTAATCTGCCGGTTGACAGGGACAATCCGTTGCCCCTAAAATGAATATGATCTGCTCCAAATGTCACCCTGGGAGATATTGTATGTCACTATGCTCCGGCGGTTCCCAGCCCAAAGTGGGGTCCCCCCCTTTGCAGGGTCACAAACCGTCAACAGCATAGTTTGCTCAGTAGAGAGTTTACATGGACTCGCTCGAGGCATGCTTTGGATTTGTTCACTTCGAATTCCAAGTTGACAGGCCCAATGCGTTTTGGAGAGGCACCTCTTTTGTGTAGACATGTGTTGGTTTAGAATTGGCTTAGTATTGCCTAATGTGCATTTAGCATTGGACGGTTGAGGGTCTGGAAAAAGTGATAGTATAATAATATATATATATGTGTATCATTCACGGAGTGCGTTTGTAAATAGGTGAGGATAGATTAGTCACCCCATGCATCAATGCAATCATATTTGTTTCTAGACGACAAATCTCCCAATACTAAATCTGAATCAGGCAATGCCAAACCAACCCTAGGCTTCGAGATTTCTCGCCGGTTATCGTATAGGTTATCTCAACAACAAGCACTTTGAAGAGCAATTAGTTGCACCGGTCAATGTTGAATTGACAAATCCTAACTCGATTCCATTCAAGTTTCTTGCTTCGCAGGCTGCTCCGTGAAGGTTTTTGCGCCCAGCAAAGGTAGAACCGCATTTGGATAGAACGGAAATCTGCTGGGACGCTACCCTATCAACAGCTTCATATCTGGTGTGGAAACGACAAATGCAGGCATGGCGCCAGAACCAACTTGATGCAATGTTGGCAACAGGCAGTGACAGGGTGTTTCAACTGTGGGATCAGTTTTCCTTTATCCGAGGTGTGAGATGGAGTGCCTCGTCCACGAGGTGGTCAAGGTGCTGGACCAAGACAGCAACAGCCATGGCTTGGACCTGCTCACGGGCAGAGCACCTCAGCCCGAGGGAAGTGGCTGGCTGAGTGGCTTGAGCAGAGGGGATGTCCATGTTGGCATCAGTTTGCCATAAACCTGCGAGCAAAACAGCAAATGGAGGCTTGCAAGCACCCTTGAGCAGCAAGAACGGAGTGGAATCGATGTTCATGCCCGATGAACACAGGATCGGACCTGAAAATTGGCATTCTTTTGACTGCATGTACTGGCGGCACAAATCTGGGGCTTCCAGTCGTAGGGACTGCCGGCACAATGTGTTTGACCACGTGACTGGCCACAGGAAGGAAGGTTGCACGTCAACGAGGTGCTTTCTGCAATGTTGCCCGTGAGGCGATCGGCACGGAGTTGACCTCTGATGCGGATGACGCCCGGCAGGTGTTCTAAGTTTGGGCGGCTGCAAACCGTGATGCGTTGCCACTGCAGGAAAAAACGAGAGAGAGAGAGAGAGAGAAAGAGAGACGGTCCCCCCAAGGCCGATTTGGATGCGCCAGCCTAAAAAGCAGCTTAGGAGACGAAGACAAATATGATCATGGAGCGGGTTTTCAAGTTGCTTGCTGTGCCTCAGCTTCAGTCGATCCGTCGGGCAGTCATTGCCAGGCTTCCAACTGTGTCGCCCCTTTTTGACCTTTGGGGCCCCCTGTGAAGGGCAGCCAAATTTGATATCCGAATCTTTGATACTGAATGAGTTGTGTGACTCATATGGTTTGGCAAGGCCCTGCGCACTTTGTTTACTTCCACTTCTCCAGGGGCTGGCTCTGTGCTTAGAAGGTTGGACCTGCATCAATCAAGTCCAAGCAAGTATCCCTTACTTCATCTCAACTAGCCTTGATTGGTTGGTTCACCCGAGTCATCCAAGAACGCGCCAGATGCAGCCCGCTTTACGGGGCCCTGTCGGGTCAAGAGCCTCAAAGGAGCCAGCGTTTTAAGAGGCTTTGGAGGTTTGCATCGGGGGTGGGGACGGTGGCACAAGCCGCTTTGTGCCGCTTTTGGCAGGGGATGCGGGATGCACAAGTGCCCCAATTCTGACAACCCCGCCATGTAGTTTGAATGAGGCGCTGAGCGAGGAAGCCAAGAGCTTCAATTATACTGCCTGGCTGCATGCGATGCGGGACGACGATGACGCAGTCACTGAAATTGTGGATGAGTTCAATCAGCATAAGCAGGCGCCTGCGCAAAGCGGGCTCACTGTTGAAGCCTGGCACGCTAAGAGGATGAATGTAAGGTGTTGTTTTGCACAGACCGTGCCTTGTGCATGCTGTTATTTAGTTAGAGCTTTTCTACCAGGCAAATTGACCTTCCAAATGCCTCTCAAATCATGTTGCTAAAGGCCTGGCTCACTGGCCCAAGCAAAGCCCCATTGTGGCCATAAACCAGAAATTGCAGCTGCGCAGAAGTGAGTTTTTTGGTGTCCGTTTGCTTGCAGGCATTTTGGTCCTGGACCATTGAAAAGGACAAGTATTTTTTGCAGCCTGAGGTCAGCGTCAACGCTATATAATTGTTGTAGCCCTGGCATGCCGGCCCAGCCCATGCATCAAGCGAAATGCTTGACTCGCAGGAGATTCGGAAAATCCTGATGATTTGCTACGTGGAGGCCGTGCAGCATTTCCCTGCATTTGGCACGACAATTATTGTTACTCATGTTTGCTGCAGGCTGTTGCCGGCCACCAGCAGCTTTCTTAGAGGTACTCGTGACACAATTTGTTGAGCATGGGGTTTACGTGACTATGCAACAGGCGATCATTTGGCCCTCGCAATTGTTCCATGAATTCCTGATGAATCTATTCCATCCATGCCCATGCATGTATTTCCCCTATGTTTGCCCATGGTTGCCCATGTTTGCCCATGTTTGCCCATGTTAACGCGTCCGCGAGCATGCGTGCCTGCCTGCTTGCGTGCGTGCCTTTTTTAATGTGTGTGTGTGTGTGTCGTGTGCGTGCGTGTTTGACGTGTTTGTGTATGCGTGTGTTTGCGTGTGTGTGTGTGTGTGTGTGTGTGTGTGATTCTTGGACTGGGAAGAGGGGGGGTCCTCTGAATGAGAAAGTCAGAAAGCTGATTACTTCGTGGGCTGGAATTCACTGAAGGAGGGCCTCCAAGTCAGATACGTACCCAAACATGCCGCCCTGTGTTTGCGATATTTGGCTTCTTGTTGCTGCAGCTGGCCAGCACAAGGCCGGCGAGTTTCTGAACAGCCGCTTGCTCGTAGCAGCGGTGACGTTCAGCAAGCCTGCCAGCTGCGTTCAGATGGAGCGTGTCACACTAATTAGTAAAAAAGGGTGGGCTTGGGATCCTACGAAGGTGCAAACGGAATCAGTGCTTGTTGCAGTTGGCGATGTGAGTTGTTGCTTCATTTGGAGGCACAAGATACATCAATGGGGCAAAAGAAATCAATCAGGTGCACAGCCTTGCGCACGATTCTTCACTGAAGCCGTCTCAGAGGCTGCAACGCAGGCAATTCTGATCGTTTTGAGCAGGGGTTCCAAAGCAAGGAGTTTCACATGATTCATGACCACTGCATGGTTTCCAAGCTCGTGGTTTGCGTGGTTACTTGCTGGGCCAATCCTAGCCCTCAAGTACTAACTCCAGCACGTACTCTGCTGAGATGGTGTTGCAGGATGCCTAGTTCACTCCACAAGTTGCGTGGAATGTGTGAGGTTTCCAAAGCCATGAGAACGTGATAGACTGGACCCCTACAACCCGGATCAGTGCAAACTCCGAGTCATGTACATCGTTATCGAGTGCCAATGACGCGGAGTCACATAGATTCAGAGTGCAACGGTATTCAATGAATTCAAGGATAATGCTTCCACAGGAGGCTGGTTGAGTCATGTTTGTGAAGATGCGGTCAAGTTTCAGCCTTGGAAAATATGTCGCCCTCATTTGACCAAATTGGAGGCATGGCTAGGGTTGCGACCGCAACTGTATCAATGTGTTAGTCAGGCTCTGGGCAGTGCCAAGGTGGTTTGAGAAGATGAGGAAGGCAGCCGAGCAGTTTGAGGAGTTTGTCCTCAAGCAATGTGCTGAAGAAGGCGCTTTGCAAACTTGGCCTTGTATCGACCTTAAATTCCTTCTCCCAGCGGTTCTCTTGCATCGATGGGCTGTGGAGGTGTTCTGTCGGCTTTCCGTGCATTTGCCAGATACCGGAGGGTTGGTTGTTGTGGGCCAGGGGTGCGCTGATTTGAGAGGCTTGGTTGCCAATTTGGCTTGGTGCCGACAGTCGTTAGAAAGCCCAGATGGAGTTTTAGGCATGGACATGGCCCAGCTGTTCAGCTTCCCGTTTTCTTAGGCACCATGCACTGCGTACTGGCGGGCAAGAGACGCTTAAGAGCATTTTGCATTCGCAGTGTTGTCCGAGGGACGCCTCTTGCTGATGCAGTCTTTAACCCGCACGTCTTTCGCACTGGGGGGTCAAATAACCAGGCTTTGCTTCAGCTGCAGACATGCGAAAGATGATGCAGAAGAACGCGGAGGAAAGGAAGAAGCTGCTCAAGCTGCAGCTTACGTGCCCTTTCTTTGCGCCAAGGAGAGTTGTTCACTCTAGAGTCAGAAAGCCTTATTGAGGCGACGCAAACCTCCTGCTCAGAATTTGTTGGACCATGAAGTCATGAAGCAACGGATGAGATGAATCCAGCAGTTGATGTTGCTTCAGCAGCCGTAGAGCGAATATGTCCACCCGCAGGTCGAGGTTCGCTTTTGAATAGACATCTTATTGGGAATCCACTTTCTTATAGCAGGTTGGTTAGACATGCAATGTTCAGTATGTTGCAATCGTAACCAGGTACTCAGACCTCGATCAATCTTCAACTCCATTGTGGTTTTCCACTTGCGGCCTTTGAATTCCTGCCCAATGCAAGAATTACCCTATTTTCCAGGTGGCATGATGCATGGGCTTGACGGCATAATCTGCTTAAATTCATTGTGGATTTGACGATGCAGATCGCGTCAAGGGGCCGTGGCCGTCCATGGATTCAAGTGCGCGGTGCCCGTCGTGACCGTGGGACCCGAGGCTTACAGCACGGCTGGCGGAAGTGCGGGACGGCTGCAAGCGCCAGGCGTTGGACAGCACCTTCCCCAGCTCGGTCCGGAAGAATGTGGGTCCGTCTTTTTTGAAGGTCCCCCCTTCTGGTTTTCAAGGGAAGCTATGGGAAGCTAAAGGAAAGCAACCATACTGCCCCCTATTTTGAGGCAAGCCCATGTTAGCTTTCTGGTAACGTAGAAGATTTGGATTGGCGTTGGGGATTTGAACCTGGCTCTTGTGAGCAAATGGGAAACCACTCCATAGCAAGCCATTGCAGCCTGGTGAAACTTCGGGGCCGTACAGAACCACGTGCCACAAGCTTCCAATGGCTCCCCTGAGTTCAGACGACTTGCCATTGGCCAAATTGATGAACACCTATGGCATTGGCACCCATGTCCAGAGCTTGGCGTCTCTGGGCCGAACTCGAGGCCACGGCAAGCGCTTCGACGCACAAGCGGCATTAAGGCCTGTCACCAAATTGGGGGTTTATAGGGAGCGTCATGGAGCGTTCAAGCATGTCACTGAGACAGAGTTGTCCATGAAGATTCGCAGTCGGTCACACTATCTTGCCACAGCCTGGCTTCGCAAGTCGGACATCTCAACGCCACTTAGCTTTCAGGAAAAAGTGTGGTGCATGAAGCCCACTACTCACGCCTTAGTTGTATGCTGCCCAGTTCGTGTCGCTGTTTAGGGAAGAACACTGTCTTTGATAATGCCAGTGCTCGCCAGAAGAGTGGGTGGACCCAGTTCGTGTTCGGAAGCCATATGGGCTATTGCATCGTTGCTACTACAGCTGCCTGGCCAGGAAAGAGCGGGAAGAAGAGAAGGAGTCGGAGGGCAAAGATGGCCTTTTGGTTGAAAGCTTGCAACCCCGCACAACCTGCATGTGACAAAGCATCGGTGTATCCAGCAAATATCACAATGTGATACACTGCCCTGAGTGGAAAGCTGACCCGTCCGCTTCTTTAGCCAGCGCCCGGGCCGGAAGTGCAACAGTTATTGGAGCGTTGCCTTGGTTCTTTTGCCCGAACAAGCGCCTAGTCTAAGAAGGTGTGTAGCCAGAGGGGTTCTTGTGCCCTTCCAAGCTCCCTGGCCCAACATGTTAAATGACGGCACCATGAGGCGAGGTGGTGCGGGACAGGCATTGGGGTCAGAGTCACAGTTGGGATGTTGAGGTGTTGAACATTGCCAGGTTGATTTTGCACCGTTTAGTCCTGCCAGCCTGCCACTGCTATTTTTGCACATCCCGTTTACCTTCCTTATTGGGTCCAAGCACTTTGGCCGCTCCAATGTGGTAAACATCGGAGCCCTTTGCAGCAAGGAGGAGGTGTGCACTTCCAGAAGTTGCCTTCAGACAGCTTGCTCATCTTTTCCGGCAATGAGTTGGCACGGCCAAACGTAAAGAAAGGTCATATAGCCTGTACCCTTCGATTGCCCAGCCGGCGACCAGACGGCATAGAAACATGACTGCCACAAGGCTGGCTTAAGGTGTCAATGGTTTTCTAGGCATGGCATGCACATATCTGCATACGATCCCACAGACCTGGGTCCAGTGCGAAGTGCCAGAAACAAGACACGTTGGCCTTGCCCTGCTCAAAAACGCGGCATAGAAGTTGAAGCCACAGGGGGTCATCTCGCCGTTTGGTAGCATAATTGGTATGTTTGTCTGCATGGTTCAAACATGCCCCTTTAGCAGGTGTGCATTTGAATGGTTGTAGGAGATGAGACTCTTGGCCCTCGGGCATTGCAAGGCCAGTTTTGCAACTCCCGAAGTTCCCGTCACGTCGCAAGGCGTAATCCAAAACCGCAAGCGACTTCGTGAGGCGGGCGGATCCAGTTCGGGAAGTCCATGACTGATCGCCGTGTCAATTCCCATTTCGAGAGGCAAAAGGCAGTCCCAAGACGATTGCGTCCACCAAGCTTTGGGGAACGCTCCCGGACTGGCATTCACCACTCTGAATTGGCCAAGTTCAGCTGAAACAGGTGGCAAAATGAGCCAGTGCGGGAGACTGCGCTTCTTCTATCGCAGATGAAAGTTTGTTGTTATCGCGGCAGCATTTGCGGACATGCTTGCTTCTGCTTGTCGCGCGAAAGTGTGCACCAGATTGAGCATTTCAGCAGGTTTCTTCTCGTGGCCAGTGTGGCCACACCCGGAAAAAAAGGTCTTGACTCGGCAAATATCAACAGCGAAATCATTAATTGCTCTGACAAAGCAAGTTATGACCTTCCGAACAGGGAGAGTGGACAGGAATGAAACGAATTGCAACAAGCAACATGATCTGTACTGGTCTCGCTTGTTTCTGGAGCATCCTTGAAGATCTACAACCCTGGCGCCGACGTGATGTGGAGCTGTGCGCAGTCCTGTGTGGATGAGCCCTGCAATCCATGTGCATGAATAATGCTGTCCACAGTGGAAAATCATCAAGGCCCGCCCGCCCGCCACCCCTCGCCCGCCTCCTCACCCGCCCCGATTATCCCCCCCGCGCCCGCGCCCACAAGCCCGCTTGCCCATGCGCCCCAGCCTCCCCACCAGTACGCCCGCCTGCCTTAGCCAGCGGTTGCTTCAGTCGCGTCGGGCAAACATCAAAGCCGTTGGGAATAATGCATGTTTCTTGGGGATATGGTACTCTGTCAGGGAGCTTTCAATGATCTCCTGCTTCCCGGATTGTGTTTTGTCTCTGGGGTTGATCGCGTAGCATTGTTAGTCCGTCCTTCGAGACGCGTATGGCTTCGAGCATTGACCACCCGAGCTCCAAGGCATAAAGCGGGCAGCGAGCAACACATGCAACATGCTGAGAGCCCAACTTGGTGTTCACACTTGGCTTGGTTAACGCAGGTACTGCGTTATAATTCCTTTGTCAGTCTTAGGTCATGTCATGTATCTGGTTGAACCAGTGGTATAAAATAGCAGCGGAGTCAAGCGTAATAATCATTGTTTAATGCTTGGCACCTCGCTCATAGCCTTTCTATATGGCACTGCGTGGCCAGCCCGGCCCCACTCCAAGCTAAACAATGGTTTTGAGAATGTCTGCACTGTCCAGCTGCGACTTCGAATCGGAGCATTGCAGGCGAGCACCATGCCGCTTTCCGGGGCTGCCACGACGCCGTCGCCCGGCCGGCGTGCCTCCCTGAGTAGCAAGAGGAGCAGCACCTTGGCGCAAGGGAAGGGCCCGGAGAGAGCCTTGGGCAACGGCCAAGTCACCCGGAGATTGGTTTGTAGGTGGAGGAGCCAGACTTTTGGGAGCGGCAAGATTCGAATCCTTTGAGCCAGTGAACTTGGGGACAAGCAGAGTGGGTATAACATGGTTCTTAGTTTGCAATAGTGGTCCGCTTTAATTTTAATCAAGGCCTCATCAGTGCAACACAATAGCCTTGAGGGCTACTGTGCGGTTCCAGCATGCATTCAGCGTTGTTCGTGTGAGCAGTGTTCGCAACGGGATGAAGAGAAGCACACTTGACTCTGCCGCAAACCGTGAGATTCCGCTGACTTGCGCTTGACTTGCACTGGAGTTTTCTGCCGGAGTAGACAGGGCTTGTTGCCGTAATGGCAGGATTGGAACCTGAGTGGGCAGGATTTGCACTGGAATGTTGTGAAATTGCAAAAGGAGTGGCGCAGAGTTGGGGCCTGGGATGAGAGGGGTCTGGGTGTCCAAGAAGCTGCACTGTACATGCTAGTTCAGGTCACTGGAAACACGCTGGTGCCCGTATTGTTGGAGCAGTTGACGCTTGGGACGGGTTGAAATGTAGGGAGAATGTGATTTGAAGGGTGTGGCACAGTGATATGTGCTTCTAGTTGCGGGTCCCTTGAACAAACAACTCTTTTACGCTAATTTGAGGCAATCGGCCGCTGCAGAGTTTTAGGAATGCCAGCAATGAAGATGTTCGCCAATTAGAACAATTATTACAAATTGCATAGTTTTCAATCTTCTGCACGGAATAGTACCACTGCACCGCTTCGCCCTCTCCAGAGTGGTGCAGACCCTTCCCCTCCTGGCCTCCAGGACGTTTTCAAAGTGATTCGAAACAGAACCTAAGCTGATTACACTTCTCAATAAACATGGAGCAATGTTCTTTGGTCCACGCACCCAGCCCTCAGAAAGTTCCATTTGCGGCTTGCAGCCTTGCATGGGGCTATGCGGGCGTGTGTATTTGGTTTTGTTTGACCTCCTACCTAGGAATGGGCGGTGTTTGCAACACACATAGCCGAGGCCACATGGAAGAGCAGATCTCCAACTTCATGCGCTCAGCTAGAGGGCCGCGCGGCCAAATTGCTTGGGAAGGGGTGCGGCACCGGCAGACGCAAGCATTCCAAGGGGAGGACAAGCAGACAGAAGCAACGGCAAGCGCTATTATGTGCGGCTCTTGGTAATGAGCTTCTCAGATTCGTTTGTGAATGATGGTTAGCACAGATCACGTTTGCAAGGTTATGCGGCTATGCGGGCTCGGCGGTTGCTCCTTGGTCCCTGCTCACTCCCCCCTCCCTAATCCAGGCCCCACCCTGCAAGGGTATGCGGTATACCAGCTGCGCCATGCAGTCACCGCACCGGTTTTGCAGTGAAGCGCGAGCCTCGCAAATCCTAGCTTGGCCCAGGCGTAGGGCAGCAAAGGGAAGGGACCATAGGTTTGCTCTTTCACCTCAGGACATGTATGCTTTGCACCGCCTTCCGTTTGCGCCTCGTTGTCAGCTGCAGGCACTTAGACCAGCTTCAGGCGTTGGACCACGAACACCGAGAGAAGGAGCAGAAGGCCTCTGAGTCTTGATTGCAAGTGGCCGTGTCTTTGCTTCGGCTGACTGAAAGCCCAAATCCAGCCCATTTCAAATCCTAATGTAGCACCGGCGTAAATGCTTCAAATGGAAATTCCCCAAGCAACCGGGTCACACGCAGGCCATCCAGGGACATGCGCATTTCAGAACATAATGCCAGTGTCCATTTGGGCGCTGCATCTCAAGCAAATAGAAACATTGTTCTTGCGGAACGCAAAATGGGCCAAGAGGTACGAGCGACCCTGTGACTATCATGCAGGCTTCATATGAATGAGTCAAACCAGCCCGAAGAACGATGCAGCATTGACTTGGGGTGAATGTATATATATATATATATATGTACATGTCAATTGTATATCATAATAAGATATATATATATATATTCCCTCTTTTGTGCAAGTGGGCACAGGTTCACAAGACTTGGGCTGAGGACTTGCTGATGAAGATGATCTGCAAAAGCCGGGTCCTGGAGCGCATGAAGCTGCGCCATGAGGCCAGCAGCGTGCTGCAGCGTGCCCCTTGGTCCGCACGAGTGCTGGGAGACTTGGAGCTTGGCGCGACGAGCGGACTAGGCGGCTGGAAGGATCTGGAAGGTACAGCTGAGCCATGACTTCTGGTTGCCAATGTCGAAGGTCAAGGGAAATGTGTTTACTCACCAACTGCCAGGCAGGTTGAGATGGTTTTGCGGGGAAGCGGAAGTTGCTTGGTGCGGGTCTGCCGGCAGTTGAGATGTGAGAGGTGCGGCCATATTCATTTTGTGTTTTGTGCTTGAGCAAGGGCAAGAAGACCTGCCCACTCGTATCGGATTCGCAGGAGCATACATAGTTGCTATTCATAGGGTTTGCTTGGGCCTTCCTTGCTCGGACAATCCTTGAAACGGCATAGGCGAGTTAGCAAAGGGAGAGCTTTAGTTTGCTCACATCTCCGATTGCCGCTGAGGTAAATGCGCTGATGCCTGGCCGCATCGTGCCTCGCCCTTGTTAATGGCGACGTGCCAGGCTGTGGCTGCGACAAGTTTCGTGTAAACCATTCGAGTGGGCTCACCCGACTGTTGTCAGCCAGGAATGCCACCCTCAATCGCGTGATGTTAAGGCCTCGCCTGGTGCTTGGCTTGTGGAAGCTGCCTAAGTTGAGTTGATTCATGGCTACCTCCAACAAGCCTTTTTTTCCGGACTCAACATGGGAATTCTGCATGTTTGGCCAGTTTTTAGGAGACCTGCTTGCAGGGGCCGCAGCTCTTCTAGCACTCAGCCTGTTGTGGCTTGACCTTCGCTCGGTCTGATTTGCCTTCACTGAGGTGGCAACGCATGGCCACAGACAGCGCCCGGAACATGAGGACCCCGCTCTCCCAGAGGCCCATTCCAAGATCGATCAGGGCACCCTGAATCCGATATAATCCGATTTGCTCTTGCTTACCCGCTTCAATCCTGCTTGTGAGTCCAGTAACTAGAGTTGCTGGATTTTCCGCCAGCTGGAAGTTGTTCAACATCACATTGTTCATATCTGTTAATCTCCTCCCCCAATTAATGAATGACCCCAATTAATAATAAATGCAAATCCGGGGCCCGAGACCAGATTTCCACTCCGTACAATTGATTTTCAATTGCCCCAATACTAAACCAATACTAACGTCTTGGAATCCTTATTAGGGGGCACTTTTAGCAAGCTTCCAGCTCCACTTTTAAAAAGGTGGGTTCCTCAATTCCCCAAAAGGTTGCTTCCCCAAAAGCTGGCTTCCCCAAACGGTTGGGTTCTTTTGGTGGGTTCCCCAAAGGTTGTTCTTGACTCTCTCCCCAAAAGGTTGTCCCTGGTTGTCCCTGGCTTCCCTTACTTCTTAATTAACCTGCCTGGCTGCAAACAAACAACCAGTAAACTGGTAAACAAATAATTAGAATGATACATCAAATTTCCTTATTGAACCGCTTACTCGCGGACCTTACAATTCAATCCATTTCATCCAAATCCTACGTGAACCCTCACATTGTTGGAAAAGCAAAAAAAAACCAACCCCAAAAAGCCCAATTAAAAAAAACATATTTTTGGGGGGATTTATTTATAATAGGGGGGGGCGTATTTATTAATAGGGGGAAGAGATTACCAGGTTCCTGGTGACCCTGGTGATGCCGCGTGCAGTGTTGGGCGTTGGCGGCTAATACTGCTGCAAGTTTTGCCCTCTGAATCGGCCGGTTTGAAGGTCCCACTTGCTTTGGGCTCAACTGGTTGGCGGATCGGGGGTCGGTATCGCTGGCTTGGATGGACGGACTCGGACCGCCTGCGAGCATTTTATCCTAGGAAAACAGTTTTGTGCAAATCAACCTCAGACACTTGGTGATTGCACCACGTCTCTTTTAGGCAAGGCTCCATGATATCCTTGGCCGCAGTAACAATCGCGGGTGTAATCGGGTGTATTTGTTTTGGTGTGTGTGTGTGTGCGGGTGTCGTTTTATTTTTGGTTTGTTGCCCTTCGCTACGCCTGCCTTTTGTGTTGCGTGTGTGGGTGTTAGCGTGCATACGTGCGCAGACAAGGAACGTAGTGGCAGTTTTTTAGCAGCATGCAACGCCGAATGGATTGATATGGGAGAGATCTATGTGGAGGATTGCCCGGCCTGAGAAACAACAAAAACTCGAGGAAAACCGGCAAACCTGCAAAGAAGCCAGATTGAAGCATGGTCATTTGGCCAGCAGAAGTCTGTCGCTTATGCACTGTTTTTTTTGCTTGGGGGGGGGGGTGGGGGGGGGGGGTTACATACATACGGTGGCCAGCTCGCCACCTAGTTGACAGAACAATGTGAGAGAACAAACTAGCTTGTTTGCCGCACACGTGCTACTTTGCCACGATGGAGTGTTGCAGGGGAAGCAAGCAATCAGATCGCGATGCCCGGCAGTCGTGACCGCATGCCCTGGTGTTCCCAAAAAAAGAGACCCGGGAAGAGAACCGGGGGGCCCTCGAGTAGTGGAGCCAGATCACGCGTTGCCGGATCCTATGTTTAGCGTCGAGGCTCGGACGGCTGAAGTGCAAGCTGTTTGCCCCAGCGTTCCGCAGATGGATTTTTGTTGTTGCTGTTTGAGCAGCAAAGTCGGCGGATTCGTGTAGCTTGCTAAAACTCTCAGACCATGCATCCTAGCCAGAGGTTGGGGCAGTCATGTCAACAGGGTCGGCCCCGAGCAGCTTCAGACCACTTGTTGGGCCAATAATTTTCTAGACCAGCAAGGGCTAGGGCTACCCGAGATCGCTATCGAAGGGTTGCCAGCCAAGGGCTGGTGCAAGGATATTTAGCGCCTTTTAATGATACCATGGTTCGGGTAAGTGACAGATGCCCGCCCGGGTCACCCGGAGATTTAGCTGACCAGACCACTTTAGCCGACTTGTTTGAGTTGTTTTCACAGCCTGGTGAGGACTTCAGCTGCACAAGCTCCCTATTGCAGCAGACGGCCATCTGCAAGGAGCTGAACAGCCTTACGGCTCCTAAGCCGAAATCGCAGGGCTGGAGCTGGTCAGCGCCCCACATTGAGAGACCCTTTTCTCCATGATGACTGATTGTCAATGGAGCCCACTCGCGTGTAGCGGTTTTGCAGCAAGCTTTTTGTTTCAGTATCATCGTTGCTGCCAACGGGTCGTTGCTGTTTGTGCCGCTGCCAGTGCTCCGAGGTTTCCGTGGACTTGAAAGACATTTGGACCGGCGCCGAGGCGGGCGGTTGTCCTTTTGCCGAGGAGTACGGCGAGAGAAGCGCGGGCTTGCCATCAGAGAATCGACACCTTTGTTTGGCCAGACCTGAGTTAGCCCAAAGATCAGCAATATGGCGTTTGTGCTTGTGTGGGTTGCGTGACATGTGGGCTGAAAAAACAACCCCGCGCCTTTTTGTTATGTAAGGGGCAGTCCCTTAACTTGTTTCGCAGGCCAAAACCATTGTAAACCGATGCAGGGAAAAGAAACAATACCCCTAGAAGCCATGAAGACACACATCAGGTCCAAGTTGTTGCCGCAAACCAAGATTGCCGAATTATAAGTTTGCAGGGCCAAACCGATACCCAAACCGATACCCAACTCCTTAGCCGCCATGCCGAATCCAACCAGCTGGCCTGGAGCCTTCCCTGGAGCTGCCAAAATGTACTTTGTGTACTACACCATACTACACTTACTTGCGCTGAAAAGCTGCGACTTTCGAGCCGTACTGCGCATACTCATACTACTGAAAAGTTGCGACTTTCCAGCTGGAGCTGCCAACATGTACTTTGTGCACTACACTTGTACTGAAAAGTTGCGACATTCCAGCTGGAGCTGCCAAAATGTACTATGTGCGTACTCCACTTGTACCGAAGAGTCGCGACTTTCGAGCTAGAGCTGCCAAAACATTGCAAACCGACGCAGCGGAAAAAAACAATACTTCCACGGGGTTGTTTTAACCCATGTAGCGGTTGCTTGGTGGGGGCGCTGCCATGCCAGCATGTCACACCAACCTGGTCCCCTTTAGTGTAAAACACATGTCGTCCGTTGACGTGAGCTTTGTTTTCAGGGACATGTTTAAGCTTCATCTTGAGGCCGGGTCCTCGGTTCTGCTCTGGTTTGACAGTTTGCCTCCTCAAAAATTAGTAGTCAGTGCATTGAGCCAAAGAACCGTTTGTACTTCATGCGTGCAAATGCTAAGAAAGGAATGCGCATGTTTGATTCCACAAGTTGGCTTATCTACAATATGATCATGGGAAGGGCTATCCAAATTCGGAGGGAGAAGAGAAGAGCTCTTTCTGAAGGAATGTGTAGATTATTGTTGGCAGTGGTCAATAGGAAGAGGCCTTCTAGTTCAAATACAGTTTCGTTTCAGTCGCGTTTTGAATTTTTGGGACAACTACAGGTGAGCATATGCGTGCAAGCAATGCATTCAGTATGCAGTCATTAGCGACTAGATGTCAATGTCGCAAACCGAAAGCAATCGTCAATTGGGCTATCGTCAGTTTTAGTTGTATAAGTGCTGGGTTCTCCTCAACTTGTTCCTCGATTGGTTTCTTCCTACGAGACCTGTTTCTTGTCCAACCCCTTTTCTCTTCGAGTCCAAGTGGAGGGAATTTGCAATATGACGATGCTGCAGCTAGAGATTGCAGCAGCAGGATCACAAGGCAGCGCTCGGGCAACTAACCCTGTCAGGGGCAGTACCTCATGAAACCGAAGGCCAAAACAAAGTCGAAGCTCAACAAGAAGGCCAGGCGGCGCTTGCAGTTGGGCGGGATGTTTCAGGTTGTGAGTGGCAGCTTTATGGAGCGGGAGGAACAGGTGGGTGAGGGGCAGTTGCGTGGAGGTGAGCCAGCATGCGCGTTGCTTCTTTGCGTGGGTTGTAAGCAGACGCGTCAGTTGCAAAGTCGCGCAACTATCATTGCAGTGCTCAATGCTTGGGACACAGCACCCCTAGTCCCCCCCAATCCACTGCCCTGTTTCAGGCATCATTGCCGCAAATTCAAGCAAGTAGAGGACCCTGTGCATTTGGGTCACCATCCCAAGCAGTCGCAAGCTGTTGGGTGGGGTTCAGCGCTCTCCTTGCCAGAAAACCTCGTCCTTGAAGGAAGATCGCCGGCTGAAGGCGCCGAAGGGAGTGGACGGAATTCGAACGACCTGGAGTTTGCGTTTGGACCAAGACACAGTAGGTGGTTTTTGTTGGGCATGTTGAAAATGAAGGAAAGAACTCTGAGAGAGCGGCCTCGCTGGCACGTTGCAGTGGCTCTGCTTCACCGTGATTGCCACACTTCACTACGGTGCGCTTCACGCTGCTAGAAACGGATGCAAGCACGGCTCGGGTGTGATCATCTAGCCTGTGTCCTGCGGGGGGCCACGAAAATCACTCTTGGATGGGCCTAGGCCCCAAAATAGGTGACAGAAGCAAATCCGCATTTGGAAAAGCCGTGCTTGAGAGTGGTCAGTTCTTTGAAACCATGTGAAAACAAATGCCGCTTGTGTTTTGTTGCAGGCAGCCAAAGAGAAATCAGGACTCTTCGTGCCTGGTCGCAGTTTGTCGCTGTGGCACATGCTCTGTCGGCTACTGGCGAAAATGTATTGTAAACGGACTCACGCCATGGTGCGCATGATATTGCTTTTCCGAGCATTCGTTGAAGGCAAACGCATTGTTTGGGCCCCATGCCTTTTTGCGGCACTTGACTTTGGCCTAGCAATCCTGGCCAGGCTTTTGGGGATTGTTTGTTTTTGCAAGGTTGCCTGGGCCTGTGGAGGGGATAATCCTCTACGCCTTCTTGAGGCGTTCAGAAAGACTGCCTTTCTCTATCTTTCTCTCCATGTACCTCTCCAAGACTTCTTGACGGGTTGCCCATGTGGAACCTTGACCAGCTGCCTCAGCTCAATTATCAAGTTCCCGGCTTCGTGCTGTCCATGTAAAAGCCTGCTTCTGGGCTCGACATGCGTTGACTTGTGACAAAGCCTCCTGTTTGGAAAAAAGTGGTCAGGAGCCTCCATTGGGCGCACGGCTGGACAAAAAGACGGCCTTTGCCAGTTTGACTCTCATCTCAGAATATCTCTTCCCGAAGCCATCCAAACACTTGACATATCCGGGAGCCCGGAGTAGCCACTGCCCCTGAATCGCCCAGATATCCACGCCGTCCACCCACACCAATTCGATATGAAGAGCCGCCTGCTGCTTGAAGAAGGGTACCATGAAGCCACAACGTGTTGGCTTGGGCAGAGGCTTGTGCGCTGGTTCTGCTTTTTCTGCTTCTTTATCTTTCTTGTCTATGTGACTCCTTTTCCCACCCTCTCCGTTGGCCCATCGTGCCAGACCCTTTGTTTGAACACACGAATCCTCGCCCAACCACGGTTGGCCACCAACAAGCCGGGGATCAACGGCTGAGTCAGCGGTCACCGCATCCACAGTGCAAGGCCGTATGAACTATGAGAAATGCGCAAACCCACCTATTCATCCCCAAAAGACTCCACCCAAACAAAATTCCTATATGTGATAAATGTAAAATCCCATAATTTGGTTCCTGTTCGGTCACCCGGTCCCGGCCAGGAGCCATGTGGAAGATCGCCCGGGCCTCCATCGCGGCGGGCAGCGCCATCAGCGCCATCCAGGGCCTGCAGCTGGTGCGCGAGGCGCGCCCGGCGCCCGGCACGTCGGCATGTCATGGGGACGGAAGCCGGAGGGAAGCCACCGGAGTTCAAACTAAACGCTGCTTGGGTTTGGACCATTTTAGTTATAAATTAAGAAGGAAACCAAGGGGTGGTTTCTGAAAAAATCATACACCCAATTAAGGGAATATCAAGAAGGATCGAAACTGAAACAGGGCAGTGCCGCTTCGCTTTGAGCTGTGCTGAATCGCTCACTGACTGCGCCGCTTGCATCGCAGAACACTTGCCAACTGCAGCTGCTGGGTGGATTTGTGTTGATGATCTGAAATCAGTGTTTTTTTTCTTCTTCTTTTTCTTTCTTTTTTTCCGGTGGACTGACTGAATCATGCAGCACTCAGCTGTGCAATGCGCTTAGCATGGCGAGTCAGGGTCGCCAAGCCCGTGACATTTGGAGCCTCAGAGCTGAGGGGGGTTCTCAGTATCCAGGGAGAATGATACCGAGCTCGCAGCTGCAAGCCGTTATGCTCGGGATCTGCACAGGAGTCACTGAAACGAGAAGAGCAAGAGAAGAAGCAGGAAGAGGAGTTGGAAGCGGAAGAGCTGGAGGAGGTCCCTGGGCTAAAAGTGCCCACTCGGTTGCGAGTATCATTGTATCTCCAACTAGTCGTCCCTGCATCAGCGTTTGCCTCCCACTGGGTGTTTCTCACAAGGGCCTCACTCCATTTTTCGACAACTCCGTGGTGACGCGCGTTCCTAGGAACCAGAACACGACGAAGACGACTTGTTCAACTTCCCACCCCACTTTTCCTTGGTCGACGTGCAGCTGCTGCTGAGCCACTCGGACAGCAAATCAAATCCCACTCCCAAGATCTCCCAAGGGCCAGCACGAAATCCAACCGCCAGGCCTCTCCTCGAGACTTCCAAAGCAGCTTTCTATCGTAGAATGCTTCTTGTCGGCTTCGGCAACCTGTCTCGCCCTTGACGGCATATTGTAGGTTCTTTTTCAGGCAACCCAAAGCAAAGCTGCCCCTTTTTGGGTGTTTGTTGCTGGGAGGTTCTCACTTGTTTGGTGAGATTCAGTTGAAATGTTGAGTGTTTTAGAGGGAGAGCATTGAGGCAGTGGGCTTCCTCCCTTTGCATTTCGCATAGGGCCAGGCCCGCCAGCTGCTTTTTGCAACTCTCTCTTAGGCGATGCGGCGGTCCAGCGCACCGAGACGCTGCGGGAGTTGCGCCGGGAGCTCTCACAGCTGGTGGCGGCTTTGGCGGCGCCCGGCAAGCAGAAGGGCGGGCAACCATATCCGGGTTTGGTTTTGGGTGCTGAATAGCCCACAGGGAAACCGACAGATGGGTGTTGTGAAATGTTGGTAAGTTGCCCAGGCCCTGTTTAGCACCCTTTCGTTTGAGAAACTGAACCATGGGTTCGCATGCCAGGAGCTCACCATAATCTAAGAATCCTGGTTTGGTTGAGTCTCCCTTGAAATCAAACAAACCCCTGTCCAGTTTTTTTCCAGCGAGTCCAGCGAGTCCAGCGATTCCAGCTTTTTGCAATGCGAGTGGCGATAGGGAACACTTGCCGAGTTACACCCGGGGTTTTGCCGGATCCCTTTCCAGGGACCTGAGCATGACCAGCATGGCATTGATTTCAGCGCCTCTTTGCAAAGCGAGGTGTGGCAAGGTCGTTGGGAGTTGCTCCCCTAAAGACCATGAACTGTTGAACGGTTGTTTGAGTCTACAAAGTCTTCAAAAGCTGGATGGCTTTGGGTGGAAGGCCTTCACCAGTGTGTCCCCGCGCATTTGCAAACTGCGGAAGGAGAACTGCTGCCAACACTGAGGGCCATTCGAGCAAACTAAATAAGTAGTGCTGCGCATCAGGAGTTTCACCTCGTTCCCCTTCATATTTTGTAGAGGCCTGTCACGGCTACAGGGGCACAGCGGAGTTCCGGAAAGCTTGCGCCAGCCTTGGTTTTACACTCAGCAAAGAGTTGTGCACCAGTGCACTGACCAGCAACTTTGACTGTTGCGGGAATGGTCTTCTTGATGCGCAGGAACGTTTTGCAGTGTTTCGCTTCATCTTCTTGCAAGAGCAGCTAGCTTTAGCTGCTTCGGCATTTTTGTGCTTAATGAAAGTGGGTAAATACTTGTGTTTGCTACTCGCACTTCCTTTCATCATGTCGGTACTGCGGCTTCGAACTCCTGATGATGCCTGCCCATCCCACTTGCTGGCGTGTGTTGTCGTGACCTATCGAGGTGAAGTACGGGGAATCCTGGGAGTACAACGCTCTGAACCTGGAAGCCCACTCCAACCTCAACCCTTGGGCGTGTCTCAGCTGATTTGCTGGTTTTCGCACCCTCCAGTGCACCACTCTGTTGGCTCAGCCGGAACACAGGCAGGAGAAGAAGCACATGACAGGATGTGGCTGCGTGGCAGTTCTCACCCCACGAAGTCTGGCATTCGTGCGTCCCAGAAACCCCGGTCTGCCAAGATCAGGTGCTGAAGTGCATATGCTCCCAACAACCTGTGTACCTTGTGTGTTTGGGCTGGGGATTTGGGGTGCTGTACACATTTAGTTGATTTAACACATTCAGTACAGACGTGGCAAGATTGGTATATGTGTACGGCTATGAAAATAGTAGTATGATATGAGTGTGTGTATATATGTATATATATATATATGTATATGTATATACGTATTTCAGATTGGGCCGTCCCCGTGTTACGTCACATGAGCCGGGGCGCTACAGCCTCGCCGGCTTTCCTGGAGGGTACTCAACGCAGTGCCACGGTGGCGCACACACACGCACACAGGCAGTCCGACCCCAAGCTCTTCCCAACCCTAGGTTGCTGGTGCCCGAGATGGAAAAAGAGATGAAGAGCCTGGGGGTGGCTTGGCGGAACGAACTCGGATCTGCGCATGCGTGCGCTCAACCCCAAAAAACAAGCAAGGCACAAGGCATGATCGATTGCGGCCATGCCACACACTTTCAAGTTAGACGTGATGTCCTTTGCAGCATCCCGCGCCTTGAGGAGAATGGCAGGTTTTTCCTGTCCCGCACTGATGCGGCGCAGCTGCAGGACATGTACCTTGGCCAAGACGAGTCTGAACCTATCATGGATTGCCCTTGCGCATTTGCGCGCCAATTGCACGTCCCCGCAAGCTTAAGCCTGAGTGTGTGCTGACTATGCCCGAACCACTCAAACTTGGAAGCGCTCCTGGACTCGACATGGTCCGATTATCCGCACGATTAGTGAGATGTGTTTTGTCCTGTTTGCTGGGCTATGACAACCCGAGGACGTAAGCATCAAGACATATCTACAACAACCTTACGTAGATAAGATGCACACGCCAAAGGGCTTGAGACATGCGAGCGTTCACCTGATGTCATTTGAACTATCCCAGTAGCCAAAGTCCGCACAGGACAGGTCCCCTTCCAACCCCTAAGGGTTGCAGTTCAGATTCTGGGGCTGCCGCAACTGCCATTCTGGCCGCATAAGTTCACAGATGCTCTTTCGAGCCGTTGCAATCACAACCTGGACCAACATGCAGTGCACAGACCCCCAGTTTTATTTGTGCGACGGGCATTGCATTGTTTTGTCGGGGTTCTATGATTGCTGCGGCCTTAATGTGCAGCACTTGAGCGTGGTCAGGGATATCTCAAATTCTGAAGCTCGGCGGCTTGGAGAGGTCGGCACAAGAAGAATAGGCAGCTGCCATGAATGCCTCGCAGCCCAAAGATGGGCAGACATATTTTCCCTCGCGGGGGATGGCCCATTGATTTGTTTTTGTCATGGATGCACACACACACAGACGGTTGCCCGAACGCGGTTTGTGTGTGTTTTTTTTTTTTTGGGGGGGGGTCCATGTTGATGACGGTCGCAAGTTGTATTCCTTAGGACTACGTGAGCCCGTTTAAGAGAGGCGACGGTAGCATCGCACGCTTCCTGAGGCTGCGGTCTATGCGCACGGTAAAGTCCCAGCTGGTTGTGGAAGCCACCAGGAAGAAGTGCGACTCGACAATGGTGGACGTAACTCGGCTGATTGCTCCATAATCGGAATCGGGTGTTTCCAAGTGATTCTCTGTGGGATGCATGTTGTCCGGCTTCCCTCAAGTACCTGCAAAGGTCTCCAGTTTTAGGAACCTGGGACACCTGTCACATTGAAGGTACCACTTGTTTGGACCTTCACGGCACAGCTCCGCTCATGTCAAGGATGAAGACAGGTGGGGCTTCCTCTCAGCTGCACGGCTGCAGATGGGCTGAAGGAAGTCGGTTGCTTTTTGGCGCCGGATGGGTGCAGCATTGGTTGTAAAGTTGCCCGGTGTCCTCTGCCGGGAAGATGCGCAGCAGCGATATACAGAAAGCCAAATGAGGACCAGGATTGTCAGCAACCACCACTACCTATCAGTTATGGATTGACCATCCCTGGAGAGGACAAATCCAAGGTCGGCCTTTTGACCCTTTGGACCTTTTCCAGAAAAGGTGGCCTATGGAGGCCGAACAGATGCAAGACATAGAATGGTTTTTCCGGGTGCTTAGGAAAGTCTGAGCGCGCCAGTTGTGGTTGACCTGTAGCTTGTCCGGGATGCCATGTTGCAGTGTTGAAGGCTGCCTTTCGCAAGGCAAGGCTTTGGTTTGCCAGGCCGTGTTCGGCCTTTTCCGCTGAGCAGCCATTTTTGTCTATTTCAGGCATGTACCATTGTGACCTGATCCCCGTGCGCAACACATCATTCGTGGGGAAGTGCTGTTTGTTTGCGTTTGCATGGATTTATCGCCGCCGGCTCTCAGGAGGCAGCTATTCGAGGACTTTTGGATCAGCTCATCAACCTTCACAAGATGTTGAATGATCGCAAGCAGAGACGTGGCTAAACAGCGGCAATGCCGAATAATCAATGTCCCATTGAACAAGCACATGTCCCGGCAAGTGACCCAAACAGTGGTCAGAAAGTGACACCGGAATCCTTGCAGGTAACAATAAAGTAGCCATACCATCTAAACAGAAGCCTTTCTGAAAGCTCCCATTGAAGATCTCCCGTGGGAAGAGGTTGCTCACAAGATTTCTCTGAAAGAAGCTCTATCAATGATCTATCAATGTGTCTAAAGAAAGTCCTGCACAAGATCTCTGTGCAAGGATGTTTGCAAGGCTTCCTGAATAGGATTTGTTGATGGGATCTCTTGGCACCTTTTGCGCAGGATCTCCAGGAGAAGCCTCTACAAGTTCTCTCTTTAGAATCTTGAGGGAGCATCCTCTACAAGATCTCTCAGCATGAAACCTTTCGGCGGTCCTGCGCAAGATCTGCTGAGAGGACCAGTATGAAGCTGCAGGGCAAGATATCTTTGGGAGGATGTTTAGAGGATCTGTGCGCAAGATCCCTTGGTAGCATCTCTTATTGGCAAGGCCCGTGCGCGCAACGTCTGGGTAGGACCTCTTGAAAGGACTGCTTGGCGCTCACCCTGCCTTCATTGCGAGGGACAAGAGGAAGCCGTTGCTTGAGAAACGGATCAAGCTCGAAAAGCAGTCAGTGGTGTTTGACCTTGATCTGCGCCACGAATTCGTAACGCGCCTGTTGAACTGGCGCACGATGGAAGGAGTGTCAGCGCAGAGAGCATCGAGAAGCGAAGTTGGGACAGGACGAACTTGATGAAGCATTGTGTTAGGGGGGGGTCGATTTGCTCTGCGCGCTCATGGACGCCAAGCGTGCGTAGACTGCAACGTGTTCAACGAAGGCACTGCGCGCGTGAGTTTTCAGTCTGTCACACATGTGGAGTTCGTGTCATGTTTCTGACCTATTTATGACCAGATGTGGCCCCCACTATGTCTGAGGTTGGCGCGGGTGCATGCACTGACCTGGGGTAAGACGCCCTGGAGCAGAATGACTTATCCCGAAGATACGGCTGCCTTTTCCAGCCGAAGACGTCAGTGTACGCATTTGCAGGATCATCGTGTGGTACAGGATGCGGCGCTACCCATCCGTCACATGTCACATTGCACACAGTGTCGATCTGGCGCAAAGAAATCCTGGATCTGGGGAGGCAAAAGCGTGTTCGAATATGATGATCTTTCTTCCCGCGCAGTGAGCGGCTGCTGTGCCGAGAGCGGACCAGATGCAAGGAGGATTTCGCACTGACATCGCGAAAGATTTGGTCTTCCTGCATTGCGACGCGAAGGCGGGAACTCATGGTCGAATGTTCCGGTGAAAGGATGAAACTTTGCCCGCAACGGGTGGTTCTGAGAAAAGGGCCTGTACCTTTCTTTACGGGCATGTTGTTCCTCCGCATGTCATGTATGGATACGTAGGGCTCGCCGAAAATGATGCTCCCGAAAAGAATGTGATCAGGAATCTGTAGCAACTTTACAAGCTCGCCGGCCATACTCACTAGTAGTCCTGATATCGTTCGCTGGAGACGTCTTTGAACCGTATATCGCATAGTATGCTGGAAGCTCGGGCGCCATCTGACACATGTGTTGAAGGTCTGGCTTCTTGGCATCGGTCAACTCAAAGAGGTCGATATGGCAATCATATTGCACTGAGCTGTTGCTCAAGCATGGTTTTTTGCTGCTCGAGTTCATAGCGTTGGGAGACACGGGGGCGCTCTAAATAAATCTAAAGGGTGCAACGCAGCGCGTGGCAGCTTGGCCAGCTTGGCGTGGGAGCTGTGGCCCCTGACATGAAGAAGTCAGTGGACGTGCAGCGCAGCGCGGCATTCGGCCTACCCCTCAGAGCCGCCTGCCTATCTCAGGATCGCCTGGGCAGCTGCCACGCAGTGAAACAACATCTGAAGTGCGCAGGCGCATGATTCGCAAGCCGGATGTCTGTCAAACGTTCGCTGGGCAAGCTAGGCCGAGCAAGCTTCAGAGTCCAGGTAGCTTCCGGTCGCGGGACTAATCACGAGGAGATCGACCACAGTCATAGTGACGACGCACGTCTTGCACGTTCTCAGCAGTTACGTCCAGTTCGTTGACTGAACCAGTACTTGGACCGAGCAGAGAAAGGGTCAACTCCAGTTGTTCGGGGCCTTGCCAGGCTCCGCCATACTGTTGGTATACCAGACGCTTTGCCCGCAATGGAGGAGTCACGAGATGTACAGGGATAGTTGGTCGCTTCGCAATGGATTTTAGTCAAGTCTGGGATACTCTTCAGTTGCGCCGTGACAGCTGCTGAGTTTACATGCTGCTCAGTTGGGCGGTGGGCCTGGGGGCGTGACTTTGATAAATGGCGGGGTAAGCCTCAGAAGCGCAGGGATGGAAATCAATATTTTTCTTTTGTCTCCAGCAGGTCAGGAAAGCAGCCAAGCATCGCCCGACGGTGTACCCGACGGTTTCTTTCGGCCAGCATCGCTTTCCCAAAGCTCAGGAAAGCAGCCAAGCTGGACATCCGAGCGGAGCTCACGCAGGCTGAAGGGCTTTGGATGGTTCCCGACATTTCTCCTCCTATTCCCCTCAAAATCGGGGCGGGTGGGGGGGGTGGGGACAGATTCGTCTTGGTTCCCCTTAACTGTCCAGAAATCTGGCCCCCCAACTTTGAGAAAGGCGAATCAGTTTGTGCTTTGAGGCACTCTTGGGGCAAACGAGGCCAGGCGCGTTTCCTTGAGCCGCAGTGGGCCCAGCATGAGGAGAAGCATGCGCCCTGTGAGAATTGAATGCTGGCAGTGTCAGCAGGTCGTTCTGTAAACGGTTTAATCGCTATCCTTTGCACTCGAAAGTAGGAAGGAAGCGCATGCAGTTATGGTTGGTCTCTGGCTCGTATTATTGAAATGCATTTCGGGGAGCGCCCAATTACGAAGGTTCATGGCATAAGGATGCCTCATGCTCGAAATTTGATTGGCAATCGTCACTACCGCATGGTTATAGCCACAACTAGTATGACAATTGTTCCCAGGGTCATGACTATATAATACTATATATCAATAACAAGGGGCATGGTTATGACCGTCATAAGAACGAGTAAAAATAGGCGGCGCAATCCCTTTTTTTGCAGCGGGAAATTATGCCGTCTACGTTCAACCACAATGACAAATGCCAGGAATAAGAATAGTACCCATACACCAAGCTGACAGCAGATGGCGTAAAAATTATTGCTCGACTCCTATCATAAGGTAATGGAATAGCCTCAATGGAGCTCATTTTTCCCTCTTTGAAATGATGTCAGGAACTGGCGCAGCTCCACCCTGAGCTGCGCAGCGGCTACGGCCTGGCGCAGAAGCGGCGCCGGTCGTTGGCACTGAAGGACATGGATGCGATTGCGTTTCCCAGCGCAAAGCCAAGGGTCTCTGCCCAGAAAGGCTTGGTCGGTTGGTTGGCTGGCCGCATCACCAGCCTCGCTTGAACCTAGAACTCCCGGGCTGCCTATTGGTTCTGAAAAGCTGGCTGTTGGGACTTACACGGAGGTGCCGGAAACAATTCTCATAATGGTCCTTCGGTGTGGGTAGAAGGGTAACTGGGCGGGACAAAGACTTGCTAACGTACATGACTGGTTTCAATTGAATTATGTTTGGACATGATTTCGACCAAGAGGCTTGCAAGAGATACACATATTTCTAAAGGTGGGCATGGACTTGTCCAAGTCTGGTTAGGCAAAAGGGAGGGGCGCATTTTGACTCCCTAAACTGTCATGTAAGAGTAAACGCGCAACAAATCGTTGACCCTCTGGGAAAACATGAAAGTTGCAAACCAGTTGCTTCGGCGTCCCAGAGCACAAAGACAACTTGTGTTGTTTTGATTTTTCTCAGTGGTTGGGCCACTGGCGGGAGCCTCAAAATCTGGTCAGTCACAGCCTGTGTCTCGTCTATGTCACAGCTATCATGGTCGCGGCTGTCATGGTCAGCGCGACCTGGCTGAGGGCACGTCACTTCTTCGCTGGATGGCGCTTGCAGTCTAACAACCCCAAGCGAGTCAGTAAGAAAAACGCACACCTTTGATCATGGATTTGTACCAATATGGCTCCCTGACAACCAACTTCAGCCCTGCCAAAGTGAGCTGTTTGCAGCTGGTCGACACTGGCTGGAACCTGAAGCCTGAATCTGCAGGCCAGGGGAGGGCTGCCCAAAAGCATGTGCAGCAATTACGCCGAAGCTTCCCGCCCAAGCAATTTGGGAAACTGTAGCAGCTTTGCAAGGGCTTCAACCCCTTCCGTGAAGACTGTTCGTGTCAATGTTTTCGTGACGGGTCGATTGTGGCTCTCACGAATCACCTGCCTGTTTGGCAGGAGGCTGCAGCGAAAGAGGAGGAGGAGGAGATAGAGGAGCCGGAGGAAACCGGAAACGCAATCAAGGCTTGGCGGTGGGATGGCCGGCCATCCTGGCATGAGTCAATCTGAAGCCTTTTGCATGCGACGCCATTCCAAGGCACAGCGGAACCCAAGCCACAATACCGTGAACGCAAATGTGTGAAATGTTCAGAATGCCAACCAAGCACTTGGTCCTGGCGGAATGTGAGACTTGGGGCAGATGTGTGTCGCTTTAACGAGGTTTTGGTCTTTTTAAGGGCTTGTTCAACTGATTTGGGTGTGTGTGTGTGTAGGATTGAGTTGGTGTGGGTCTGATTTGACGAGTTCGTAGCCGTTTCAGCAGTTGTCACGGTTGTTGCTGCATTTGTAATCGGACAATTAGGTATTGAACAGTGGTGCCAAGAACCACCCCCCCACGCAAGCCCAAACCGCCACCAGACATCACCAGACACATCTGGAGCACCACCTGAACCCCAAGGGGAAACTCACGCAAGGGCTGAGCAATCAATCGCAACGCTTACAATCATATAGGTCAGGAGCTGGCCACTCAGTTGGAGTGTCTCAATGCGGGCGACGGATATCCAGATTTCGATGCTGTTGGCATAGCCAACGAATCCAGGCCTTCATGAATGCCTTGAAGTTCAAGAGCAAGATCGCGGAGGCCCGCGACGCCAGGAAGTTGGGCCGCTTGGCGGAAGAGAAGGGATCAGGGCACAAGAAAAAACATGAAGAATGCATCATGGACCCCTCGAGACATCGCGCTTTGCTCGACATGGATCTAAGAAGAGACCAAGAACCAGATCGTCACTGCCCTTGCCGATGTCCGCAAGTTGATGGAGGAGGACGAGCAGCCACTTGTACTTGGAGACTCCAGCCAGAGGTCCAGCCATGGCCTTGGCCAAGAAGTGCAAATGCAGGGTGAACCACGGTAAGCCTAAGGTACGCCTACTTAGCTTTCAGCCTGGCCAACATCCTGACAAGTGGCTGGCATTGCGGCATGGCATTGCAAGCTAGCCGAGGATGAAACAAACGCTGGATGAGGAGAGGCAGCTGGCACAGCAGCAGGCGGAGAGTGAGGGGAGAATTGCTGGGCATTCCGAATGGAGGCAGTCTGAGGCTGGAGTCGTGGCCTTTTCCTAGGGCGTTTGTTTCTTAATTAGGGCCTGCGGCGGGTTGAGGTTGCTCGGTCGGTGGGAGCGACGGGTTGTGGAAGAGTGCAACATCCCCAACATCGTGGCAGGCCCGTATGGGCAATAGGTCAACACGCATTTTAGCAAGGTGCTTTCAGCCGCATGGGTTTTAGGCTTGGCGCTTTCGCCGACCTCCCTGCATGGGGATGCCCCAAAGGAGGAAGTTGGCCATTGTGTTGGCAATTTTCCCACACTTGCGAACAGAATGCAGCTGCCGACTGCCGACTGCCGACTGGAGGAAAGCTGTGTTCTACTTTGAGCCACAATGGCCAACCTGGTGCTGCAAGATAAATTGGGAATGCCATGGAATGCCCTGGTTTTGATTGGTTTCTGTGTTTGGGGGCATGTACTTTTGTCATAACAGTTTGTAGTACGCCATTACCCAACGCGGTTTTTGGCTCAAGCTTTTTACTCCGTCGATTCGACCTGCCATAACCGTCAAAATCGCTGGCAGCGGCGCCGTGCCGGTGCGTGGGTGTTCGAATCCCACGCCCCGGATTACGGCGGCTGGGTGGCTTTGGGTGTGGGTCAGGTTTGGGTTGGGAGTCGCATTGTTGCTGCTGCTCCGCTTTTGCTTGATTAATTGCTTTGCTCGCTCGCTTGCTGCGCTCGCTTGGTTGGCTGCGCTGGTCCCCTTTCCTGTTTGGGTTTTGCGGTTAAACAGGATCCCCCGTTTGTTATCTGTGTGGTTCTTTGCCAGCCGAGGGCACCACTTTGCCCTTGGGACTGGGGGGCTTAAACTGTCTCTTCTTGTTGGTGGGTTAGGGCCTGTTTTATCCATCCCGAAACTCTGTTTCAAACCCTTTCGCAGGTTATCAGCCGTAGGATTCGTCCTCGGTTGGCACCGCGAACCCCTTTTAATAATAACCCTGCAGGTACCGTAGGTCTCTGTAGGCGTCATGTCGGGAGTCACTGAGGACGGACCTCACGTGGTGACCGACGAATGGGTTCTCGGCCAGGCCGGAATCTTGGACGTTGTGAATGACGACCAAGTGCCCGGACAGCCGATGTTTTCCGGTCCTGACTTTTTGTCGGACCACTCTTTTTCAGAAGCAATGCCTTCAGGAAGGTCCAGTGCTACTCGCACTGATGAGCTATCGTCTAATGCCTCAAGAGCTAATCGCTCTCAGGGTCATGGGGCTAATCGTCCTGACCATGATGATTCCGTCTCAGGACGTGATGATGACGAGCCCGGTATTGCACCTGGAGCTCAATCCTCATCTTTCCCGGAGCTGATGAATATTGGTCAGTCCGAGTTTCGTGACTCTCGAAGTAGCAGTAGACCTGTGCCAACCAGCAGTATAGTTTTTCAAGCGCTCGGTAATCCCGAACCTGGTACATCCAGTGGAGTTGCATTTGACGTTCATCTGCCGACCGAATCCGGTGGGCTCGATTGGAGAGCCTCATGGCCTAACGACGGAAACATTTTTGGTATGGATTTTGCCGCATGGATGCCAGGGCCACCCGCCCCGTCATCTTTTCCACAATTCCAAAGCCCAAAACGGGCTGCTGGAAGCGATGAATTCATGCTACCTTTGTCGATTGAGAATCTCAATCCTGACGTGGCCAGCCGTAACGTCAGGCCAAGACCGTCGGTAAACCCGACCATGAGGAACATGTCCCCTCCCCCAGGACTTTCAGGATTTGAGAGCCCTAGGGAGCGTAATATCGTAGATAGATTGGATTTGCATCCCAGTCCAACCCCAAGCAAACGATCAAGGTCAAATTCGACTGGATCGTATAGGGCAAGGGGGATGGATCGGGAAACTGCCCACAGGGGTAACCCCAGTGCGCGAGACTCAGGACGCGGTCGATCAGGGGATCCCGCGTCGATTGTCGGTAGGGATCCGCTAAACGCGGACACGTTGATTAACGTGCTTGATGGGATCGAAGCATTCCAGGAAGGATTCAATAGGTCGAGTGGCCCGAATGTACAGCCTGTTCGCCCTATGCCCAAAGCGGCTTCCTTTCTCGCCATTGACAACACGGACGGAGCTGATGTTCCGATTGAGTCTGAGTCCATGATGGCATCAAGTTCCAATCACAACAACACTGTCAGCAGCGCTACCGATGTTGAATCAATGTCTGAGTCTAGAGCGTCCAATGCGACTGATCTACATGACATTGTCATTGCTGATATGAAGCCTGAAGTTCCTATGCGGACTGATAGGCCGGTAATTCCCAAATTGTTTGTGACAAAGGGTCTAGGCATGCCACAGCCATCAGTTGTTCGTGATGCCAGAAGATCTGCACCGTATCAGAGTCAGTCTCCGAATCGGAGCGAATTCCCACGGCCATCAACGGCGGTACAAGATGATTTCAGGACACCTCCGAGATCTAATCCGATCATGGTTGATTTGTCCACTCCTCGAGATCGCGGATCAGGATTTGGTCCTGCGAGTGAGGAGCAACCCAACGAGGTTGCTGATCTTGTAACTGCCCTTGAAAGAGGGAGAGTGGACTCTTCGGTAAGTGCGATCATTCATCGCCTGGTTGCTAAGGTCGAAGACCTTGGGCGTAGGAATGATAGAAGTGATCAATGCATCAAGCAGCTCTCCACTGAGGTTAACTCGTGGAGGGCCAAATACGACCAATGCGTCCATGTGAGTAGCACGTGTACGCAGGCTGCGAACGCGGCCATGCAGCTGTCACAAGGGACTAAGGACATCGTGACCGAGCTTGGCCAACGCGTCAAGATCGTTTCCAATCGCATGATAAGCATAGGCGATGCCCTAAATGAGCGAGCCAGCTATGATGATGTTGCTCGCTCCATCACCCAAGTTCAAACTGTTTTTGAATCTCTTTCTGATCGAGTAACCGGGCTTATAGCTCGTGTTGATATGATCGAGAGATCTCTAGTGGAGAGCCAATCCAACCATCCTGCGATTGGTGGAGTAAACCTCAAAATCGAGGACCTGTCCACTAGGGTATGTCAGATTGATAGGATGATGCAGGATGTCGAACAATGCTGGACCAATAATAGGGACGGCATAAAGTGGGTTAAAGACCAACTTTATGAAACACAAGCCAACCTTGAGATAAAGTCAAGGGACTGCAAATCCTACACGGACAAGCAAAATACTCATAACATGGCCGTTTCGACTACGCTCAACAGTAAGCTCGAGCAAATGCTCGAGGTGCTGGGTAATACGGCCCAGAGAATTAACTCCCTCGAGTCAAGGCACTCGAACCAGGCATCAAGTAGTGGATTGAACGATCGCACAGGAGGAAGGCGTGCCGCGTCCCGTACTCCGGATAAGCGGCCACCTCCACCTGGCCCTCCTGATGATGATCCTCCACCACCTCCTCCTCCAGATCGGCAAAGCCCAGGAGGAGGGGGGAAGAAGAGTGCTGCCGGTGGGAACCCTGGCGACCCTGGTAAACCCAGGTGTAAATACGTAGGTGATGGAAATAATCACCTCATGGCTGAGTTTCACTGCAAAGGATGCAGAGGTGATATTTGTGAGTATTGTTTCTCGTTCAAAGAGAACTTGTGTGAAGAATGTTCCCGTAACGGACCCCGATGCGGTGTCTGTAGGGAGAGCTCGTTCCTGACCAAGGGAATTGAGTGTCAGTTTTGTAGGACCTACTACTGCACCAGACATTCTGCTGGGCAGGATGACTACAGGAGATTTGGATTTGTCCAGGGTCCCTGTTGTCTTGCGTGCCTTAGGGACGAAACTAGGAGAAGAAGGGATCCCGATGGTAACCGTGTCAGGAATAGATCTCCTGGAGGCGCGCCTGAGACGAACCCGACGCGGTCGTACTCGCCGCCTCTGCGGCCACCCGTTGACAGATTCCGTGACACTCCCACTGGGGGTCAACCCAACGCGGCTGATCTTCAGAGCCCTCCGAAGGCTACGCAACCCGTGCCCCTTGATAAACGTGAAACCGGATATTATCCAGGATTTGATCCCAACGGTACAAGGTCGAAGGATCCTTCAGGCCTTGAGCCGCCGACCATGCGTGGCCCCGATCCTCCTGACAAGAACTGTCGGATGTGTGATCGGGATATTCCTGACCCCAGCAAAATTGGGGAATGTAAGATATGCATGAAAAGAGCGTGTGAGATTTGCATTCCGAAGGCTACTCGCCTTTGTCCTGTATGTGCACTGTCAATCGGTAGTTCTCAGGTTCCACAGCATCTTTTCTAGTGGCGGTGGATACAGTAGCCACCATGATCCGAACTGTACAGCTGCGACTAAGTGCATTCCCATAGACCTCCCGCCAGAGCCCGACGCGGCTGGGCTGAGGGTATGGATAGCCAATATGAAGGAAGCTGTTAGCAATGCCTACAGCTATGATGGACTTTACGTCATCAATTGGCTAACTGAAGTCGAGAAGGCAAAGACCTTTGATGAACTGGATGGGGAATGTAAATACCACATCCTTGAAGCCAGGTTCAATGCAGCCATTCGGAAGTGCATCAAGACTGTTGCAATTATCGATAAGATTAATCGTCTCACCGAAGCCGCTCAACGCTCCAACAATCGCATCAAGAGTAGGCAGATCCTGTGGCTCTTATACGACCACTTAAGGACTGCGAATATCGGAGAGCAATCATTCAGGATAATTGAGCTCTCAAACTTGCGATGCAGTGTTTCTTCTTTCTATACCGAAGAGGAGCGACTTGAAAGGTTCATCGCGAAATGGGATCACATCCTTGCGGGTCTCGATGAACCGCTGACCGAGCAAGTAAAGCGGTCGCTATTCAGTGAGAAGGTTAGACACCTCAACTGTTTGGCTCATGATATCAGGGAATGGGATAGGAACATATCCAACCCTGATGTCTGTAGCTATGAATGGCTTCGTGCTCGTTGTAAGAACGAAATTGACCGCTGGAGGGTTCGTAAGAACCAGGTCAATATGCACAAA